AATAGAGATCCTGTAGATGGCGCAAGCAGCATGATGCTGTGTCTAATACCTATATGGGCCTCTTTGCAATGATCTCACTCTCTGTTCTGGGCTGGGAAGTCCCAGACTTATATATGATCTCACTTTACTAACATCACCACTATTCTTAAGGATTGGTTGAGGGGATTCTCCAATCCATGTTACTCTTCCTTGCTTGTAAAAATAGTATAAAAGTAATAAACACTATGTGGTAGTCAGACATCTTGGCACCCTGCACAATGACTGGTCTTTGAAATCCCTCAAATCAACCTAGAAATAAGGAGAAATTTCCTGACAGTTAGAACAATTAATCAGTGGAAGTACTTGCCCCTGGAAATTGTGGATGCTCCAACACTGGAAGTTTTTAAGAAAAGATTGGACAACTATTTGTCTGAAATGGTATAGGGTTTCCTGCTTGAGCAGGGGGTTGGACTAGAAGACCTCCAAAGTCTCTTCCAATTCTGGTTGGAAACTAATGGTTGGAAACTAATCTAGGAGAAACACAACCTAGAATATCTATGGAAAAACATCCTGACAGTGAGAACAATAAACCAATGCAATGACTTGCCTCCATAAGTTGTGGGTGCTCCAACTTTTGATGTTTTTAAGAAGAGATTGGACAAACATTTGTCTGACATGGTATAGAATTTCCTGCTTGAGTTGGACTAAGAAGACCTCCAAAATTCGTTCTGACTCTGCTATTCTGTTACTCTGTTTTGGCTGCTAATCACAAAAATAACCTGTAATGTAACCTATCACGTACTGTTTTATAGAAATCTTTGTGTTTTTGTGCAAAGTACACCCTTTGTTACCTGTTGGCTATGCTGCACACATATAAAAACATGGAACCATTGCTGAAGCACATTCAGTACACTAAGTATACCTGGAACATCTGTGGAAATCTAAAAGTAGTGGCTCTGATGCTTGGAATGCAGTTTGGGGATGCCAAGCATTATTATTACATTGGGAATGGAACAACCATGCACGAGAATTGCATTAATTTTTTTGAAAGAGGGTCAATCTAAAAGAATTTGGTTCCAGGACAGCAAAATGTTGCACATCCATCACTTGTTGACCCGACAAAGGTAATTTTGTGTCCGCTTCACATAACACCTGGACTGATGAAAAATGTTGTAAAAGTGATGAACAAGATAGCTGAAGGTTTTGTTATTTGAGACCGATGTTTCCAAGAATAACTGATGCCAAGATTAAAGAAGGCATTTTTGTGGGTCCGCAGATCAAATATGTCATCAGTGACAACCAGTTCGAAGATCTGTTAATGGGGCCAGAGAAAATTGCCTGGAAAGCATTCAAGGATGTCATTGAAAATTTTCTTGGCAACTACAGTGCACCAAACCACATTCAGTTGGTTGACAAACTTCTTACAGCATCCGTGAAGTGCAATATGTCACTGAAGATATATCATCTGCATTCACACTTGGACTTCTTTCTCCAAAATCTTGGTGCGGTCAGTGATGGACATGGTGAAAGCTGTCAACTCATAAAACATTTCTATGCCTGTTTTCAAGTTGCCATGAACAGAAGGGGGGGATTTGAAAGAGCAGTGCAGCAGTTTGGAACTGAAAGTGCATTCCGTTCTTATCTTGCAAAGATTATAACTAAGCTACCAGAATTAATGCCACACAAATCTCTAATTAGAGAATGTGATTGATGAGTCTTGGCTATGAACATGTTTCATTGGAGAATATGAATTATGATACACCCAGAGGGGTGTGGGGATACCAGGGTCAAGGGTGACAGTGAATTATGTGTCTCAGAATTGGCTTCATACTGGTCATGCTGACATGTTCACTCCTAATAAATTCTTTGAAGTTTTTGAAACTTGGCTCGAGGCTCATGATTTAATTAGGGCAGCTGCCGGAATCCTGACAGCAGCAATAGAAAAATGGAATCAGGACAACTGGAATCCATCAGTGCTGGCTGGCTATTGTTGGACATTGTGGCAAGATACATCAGATACCAAGTAAAAAAGAAAATCAGCAGCAATCAAAACTTTTGGCCATCTTGAACTCATGCAGCTTGTTAGAAACGTTCTATGATTATATATGTGATAGGCATTAAAAGTTAATTTTATATTTATCAAGATTCCTACATGATACAATCATTCTAAAAGTATATTTGTGTTCAGCTTGAAGGGGTCTACCATCCTTACCAAAAGGTTTTCAGGAAGCAAAACTTTTGGCAAAAATATTACCTAATATAAGTAGTTGAATCTTTCTTCAATATGGATAGTGGAGTAGTATGTTCTATCATGAGAGACCCAGTTTGGTGCAGTGGATAAGGCACCAAGCTAGCAACTGGGAGATCACGAGTTGGACCCAGTGCCAGTTGGGTGACCTTGGATCAGTCACTGTCTCTCAGTCCTAGGAAGGAAGGAATGGGAAACCAGTTCCAAAAATTTCACCAAGAAAACCGCAGACTAGGACCATCATTCTGTACCTTTGCAGTATTAGTGAATTGGCATAACCCTATCACAGAACATTCTAGTGATCTCCATCCACAATACTCATCTCATGGTCATCATTGCACATGTTCTTCTCCATTATTGCCATGGAAGTAGTTCATCTTCGGTAGAGTTTTGCCATTGACCTGGATGGTGGAAGTACTTAGGCTAGTCTCTAAACACTTAGTCTTCTTTATATTGTGGTACAAACTGAATTGGGTAAGACAGTCATTCCGTTTCTGGATACAGCTCTACAGTTGTTCCATGATGGTAGCTGTGAGAAGGACATACATATATATGTATATGTATGTGTATACACATACACATGTGTATGTGTATGTGTATGTGTATGTATGTATGTATGTTTGTATGTATGTATGTATATATATATATGTGTGTGTATGTATGTATGTATGTACATGTACATGTACATACAAACATCCTACTGGCTTTTGTGTCTGAAATGGGACCTTGTCTACTTCCCCATCCCACTTCTCAAAGTACAAATACAATGGCAAAAGTTTTCTTGGGTAGGAAACCAGATCAGTGGTTGATGCCATGATTAATAGTCAAAAGTCGTATCTTTGGTTCAAACTGACCCAAACAGTATATGGAAGTGAATGGATGAACCCATCACCAATTATCTCTTCTGTTGTCCATGGCATCCAGGTCATGGTTGTCCCAAAGGTGTTTTTTTTCAAGAGGCAACTGGACTTTTTGGTTTTTCATTGAAGACGTTTCGCTTCTCATCCAAGAAGCTTTTTCAGCTGAAGAAGCTTCTTGGATGAGAAGCGAAACGTCTTCAATGAAAAACCAGAAAGTCCAGTTGCCTCTGGAGAAAAACACCTTTGGGACTATCTCTTCTATTCTTTATTGCTTCGCTACCTTATCCCATAGAATAACCGATTTATAAATATCCATTCATTTCACAATTATTCAATGAACCTTTAAGAGAGATGTCTATAAAGATCGAAGATTAAACTGAATATCAACAGGCGAGGGTTCTGCCAGGAGTGGGCTTCAAAAGTTTTAGCAAAGGATTCTCTGCCGGGTAGTTGTAGCCATGGTGGGTGTGGCCTAGTCGGCCTCCTGCACCATGGCAGGGGGGGAGCATTTTCATCCTCCCTGGGCTCTCCTTTCTAGAGGCCAGAAACAGGCCCATTTCTGGCCTTCCCAAACTTCCAGGAGGCCCTTTTTTTTGCCCCCCCCCCAAGCCTCCATGTATGCCTTGCACTTATCTGCATCCAAAATGGGCCCCATGGGGACTCCTGGGAGAGGTGGGGTGGGTGGGGCCAGCCAGGAGTGGGATTTGGGGGATTCTCCAAACTGCACAGAATCTTAGCTAGAGGATCTCCTGAACCCCTGCAAACCCCCAGCAGCCCAGCCCTGGGTTCTGCCTTACCGAGGCACCCACAAACTAGATTTCATCTCCATATATTCAACATCACAAGGTCACAGGTGTGCTCTGAAGAAATGAAATTTGTTTACACCAGGGAGACAAGGATAACAAGAAAGCCTATCAGGAATCTCAGTTTGAAAGAAAACAATTAACATCTCTGCTGCGGATGGAAACCTGGCTTGAAGGGCTTAGTGACAAGGGCAGCAAGGGCAAAGAAAGTCATATTTAAGAGTAAGGTGCAGTCTCCAGTGGGTCATTTGAATTTCATCTGCAGGGTAATTTCCACGCCATTTAGCCTTATCCATAGTGGGAGTAAAGGGGGCTAAATAGATTATTAAACTGACAAAGTCATACAAGGGGTGGGGAGGGATTCACCCATGTGAGCAAGAGGATGATAAGATTCAATGATACGCTAGGATAGTTTAGTGACAAATTGGGGATTTTAAGTATTTACAAAACGATATGGTACCGGTGGAGAAAAAGCCAGTAATATATACATCCAGGATTTATGGTATGTTGAAGATTTGTCTTATAAACAGAAGACAGAATTAAAAAGAAAAAATCACATGGAGTGGATTGAAATGGTTCTCAGTAATGGTTGACAATACAACTCTGCTCCTACACCTTATTTTGTTTGACATTTAAGGCATCACAGATTCCTCAACGGTCAACCGTAGAGGAAGGAATGATGAAAATCCCTTAATTGATGCAGTTAATTGACTAATTGGGTAAATAAGGTTTAAATATATGGATTTTTAATTGGATTTTCAGCAAAGCACTGCCACGTTGGTGACAAGAAAACCATAAACTTCTATTGAAATAAGTGATGCATTACAGCAGTATTTCTCAACCTTAACAATTATAAGATGCATAGACTTCAACTCCCAGAATTCCCCAGCCAGCACAGCTGTGAAATGTATGGACTTCAACTCCTAGAATTCCTCAGCCAGCACAGCTGTGAGATGCATGGATTTCAACTCCCAGAATTCTGGGAGTTGAAGTCCATGCATCTTACAATTGCAAAGGTTGAGAAATACTGCATTAGAGATAATATATGCAGCAATTTATGTTCTTATTGTTTAAAGCAAGTGAAATTACCTTCATTCAAGATCCTTAAAGTTCACCTATGCTTCCATTTATTTATTAATCTCTTACATGCATGACACACAATTTATTAAGAACAGAAAAATCAATTACACATCTTGGAAATTCAGTATTTAAATTGATAGTTTTTACAGTATATAATACTTTCATTTTGTATAACTACAAAATGTAGCATGGGTAAATAAGAATATTAAATTTTATTTTTGTTATGAGACTTAAGCTTCTGGATTATATATGCTTGAAGAATAAAGTAAAATTCTGCATATAGTTTCAACCACATACTGAATTTGGCAAATGAAATTAACTGCATTTCATCTCTTTGAATCTTCCTCCTAATTCAAGAGTAGGAAAATGTCATTCCCATTCTGCAGCTTCTAAAATTCCCCAAGATCAGGCAATTAATGTGGAAATAAATCACTGGTTTTTTTTCAAGAGCATGATGTTCCCCATTTCAAAAATAAGGGCAAAAATCCACCAACTACAAAAATGCTCTCAAAAATAAGGGAGCATCTTTTATACGCTTAATGTCTATTTTGCTATTTTAACTTTCCTAGACCCCAAAATATAGAAAAAGCAAGGCACATTTCCTGCAACTGCTTCTTTCAATGATATGAATATATTACTACTGCTCTCTCTGAAGCCAAGATAAATTAAGTTTAAACATACACACACACACACACACACACACAGAGAGAGAGAGAGAGAGAGAGAGAGAGAGAGAGAGAGAGAGAGAGAGAGACCCCAGAATTCTTGGCTGTAAAATATTTTTTGCTACCTTAGTCCTAACATCAGTTTTTCATAGTACTATTTAATATGGCCACAGAGAGAATATATAAAAGGCCTAAATATAAAGGGAGCATATATCACCTGAATCTTTTCACCCCATTGACATGGAAATAAAACCATTCAGATTCAAAACAATGAATTCAGAAATGATCAGAAGACAGAATGGAATCTATTAGCACATTACTAGGACCCCAAGTAATCCTGCAAAGCATCAGGTACAATATTCAGAGTTTTCCCAAAAATGCTATGATGTTTAATTCAACAGAAGGCAAAACATGTTATAGCTGAATAACTTCCTAAAACTTCCTAGTTTTCCTAATAAAAAGAAAAGTAGATAGGGCAGGCCTGAAGTCAATTTGCCCTTAGCTGATATCATGTGACTATCAAGAGTTATCAAAATATAATTAACTTTATGTGTTCTCCAAAAATTCTTTTACACAGTCAGAATAAACATAACATCATGCACAACACTGTTTCCCTAATTCTGCCGTTTTCATATTTCATATCTGTGGACTTCAAATTTCAGAATTCCATAGCCAGCATGGCCATAGATGAGAATTCAGAGAGCTGATATCTACAAGTGTGATAGATAGATGATAGATAGATAGATAGATAGATAGATAGATAGATAGATAGATAGATAGATAGATAGATAGATAGAGAATTTCTACAGAGTGGGATCCTTTTGTCATTAGCCAAGTTATGATTTCTTTGTCTGTTTGTTTGTTTGTTTGTTTTGGGCAGTGCTGAAATCCAAGCATGGGGAAAGTATTTCCTATCTAATTTCTGTCTGTTGTGCAAAAATTAAAGGCACAGGACATCTACCAAAGAAGAGCTGGGAACTCTCAATGAGATTTCCTTTATTGGAATAGAAAGAAGTGAGAAGTAACCGGGAAGAAATACCGGATGGCAGCTTTTATGTACGGTACAATAAGTAGCCACTAAATGTAGTTACGGGTGGGTATTTTGCTGGGATAGATCCCTTTGCCAGTCTGAGCCAGACTTCTTGTCCATAGTTCAGTTCCAATATAGCATCTCCAGTAACTACTCTAGTAACGTATTTGTCTCCACTTCCATTTTCAGATCGGAAAGCTAGCTTGTCTGTTCCATCAACCACAAGGTAGCCAGAGATGGATGGGCTGCTTGACTCAATGTTATACTCAAAGACATATACTCCCAAGTATGGTACACGGAACCTTCCATTTGCAGGGACATAAGAAGTCCCATAGTTGACATCCAGATTGTTAAATCGAATAGGACCAGGTGTGTTCATCCCATAGGTGTGCGAAGCAAAAAAGGCTATCATAGGTGCATATCTGTAAGACCCCTTTGAGAAATCTGCAAAACAAATAAGCAATTAATAAAAGGGTCAGAATGTGAAAAAAACAACTGGGTAGAGCTTTTGAACAGTAATAATAAAATAATATACTTTATGGTCATTGCACCTCGTACAATGAAATTATATGCCATTTTCAGTATCCATTATAATTATAAAAATTAAAACACAAACACACATCCTTCACATTCTGTACAATTGAACTGAAAACCCCTGATGCTGCATTAATATTGCACTAAACAGTAGAATTCAATATAGTTACTGCCTGGGATAGAAGCTGTTTTTCAGCCTATTGGTCCTTGTTTTTATTACTCTGTACCGTCTGCCAGATGGTAATAGTTCAAAAAAAGGGTGCCCAGGATGAGATGGATCTTCAGAATGTTTTGAACGTTCTTAAGGCAGAGGGAGCTATAAAGCTCTTCCAAAGAGGGGAGAGGGCAACCAATGACCCTCTGGGCAATGATGTTAACTCTGGGGAATGATCTTAATAGATATGATGACACATTTGGACCCATAATTGAAAAGTTCAAAATCAAAGAGAGATGAGATCTCAAAGCTGCAATGAGCCTGCACTGAGAACACTTGTTAAAGTTTTAGAACTTCCTGAAGATCATCCTTAAATGGGATGCCATTTTTACAATAATGGCAATAGCAGTTATACTTATATACTGCTTCATGGAGCTTTACAGCACTCTCTAAGCGGTTTACAAATGTCAGCTTATTGCCCCCAACAATCTGGGTCCTCCCTTTATAGACTTCAGAAGGACAAAAAGGTTGAGTCAACCTTGAGCCAGTCAGGATTGAACTCCAGGCTGTGGGCAGAGTCTGCTTGCAATACCTTCCAACTCTGTTATTCGGTTATGATTAGTATTAGCATCTACTTTAGTTCTTGGTTAAAGCTAAACATAATTAGATTCCAAAATTCTTTACCAAATGTATGGAGAAGCACTGGGTGGGTAATTTTTCAATAGGGCACGGAAAATGGAAAACACGAGAAATCAAGTTGTTTGAAGACAAGTGACTGTACAGTAAAAGGCAGGGTATTCATGCACACACACAAAACCTTTTGCCCTATAATTAAATAAGGCCAAGAATACACTCTTTCCATGACATCTTCTCTGAAACTGACAGCTTTTTTTTGGAAGAGTTTCAAAAACATTTTTGTTCCTCAAATTAAATGAGGGGGAAAATGCAGGAGAATATCTCTGCCCAGTAATATTCCCTGCCACCCTTCCTTTCTTTCTCCATATTGTTATTTTGCTACAATTTTCTACACCTCCCCAGGAAGTAGTAGCCAATGGGGAGAAACAAGGAAGGAGAAATCAGCATAATGCTGTCATGTCACAGAATAAGTTTAATGAGAACGCAGTGCAAGAGAATCTGTGCTCCGAGATGCTATTTTCAGCATTCGCCCTCTAAGCCTGCCATAACGTCCCAGCCTTCCTTTTGTTGTCTTCTCATGCAGAATTGCCGGTTTAAGTGGGATCAGCTTCATATAGCAGACACAGGTAGAGTTATAAACTTTCCCCCAGGCCTTCTGTCAAATTCCCCAAGAAATAAAGAAGAAAGGGGGAAGGATGAATTTTTTACATTGTACAGAAAGCAATTCTCTTCACAATCACTGTCAAAATGCACCAGAAAAACTGTGTGTAAGTCTGTTGTGTTTGCAATCCTGTGCTACTTTATTGAGGGTTTTTGTTTTTTAATCACGATTTCTTTTCCTCCAATGTTTAATCACACACTTTTCAAAAGCAACAAGTTTGCATTTGTTGTCCAGCCCCCCAAAACACCAGCTATGTTTTAGATAATGAAGGAGGGAGGAGGGGAGGGAGGAGGAGGTGGAGGAGGAGGAGGAGGAGGAGGAGAGGACGACTCCAGGCTAAATGAAGGACTCTCAAATCTTGGGAAGCCCAACTAAATGGGAAGTTAAATATTGAAAGCATAGGTAATATTCATGTAGTGTTTTTAATGAAATCTAAATGCAAACTAAAATTTAAAAAATTGTCCTGGTTCTTTTTACCAGGCTGGAGTGAGCTAGTTTTGATTTGTTTCTATCTTTCCTGTTGTTTCACTGTGCCTATTGTTGTTGTTTTTCCATTATTAACCCTCCAGCAAAGTCACCTAGTGAGCTTTCATGGCTGAAAGTTGACTTCATCTTGGGTCTCTTCAATCCTACTCTAGAATCTTAATTTGTGGTTCTCAAAACTACTCAAAATTTCCACTACCGGTTCTCCAGAACTGGTCAGAACCTGCTGAATACCACCTCTGATTGTAGGCTCTCGCTGAGCAATAACTGTCTTCAACATTAAGTGGGGCTTCCTGTTCTCCTTTCCATCTCTGGCCTACAGCTGGAAAAGCTGGAAACATCACTGGAGGCTCTTAAAAAGAGACTGAACAGCCCTTTGTCTGAAATGTTATAGGGCTCCTGCTTGAGCAGGGGGTTGGACTAGAAGACCTCCCCAAGGTCCCTCCCATCTCTGTCATCCTGAAACAGATGTAGTGTATTTTGCACATGCTCACCTATGGCTGCAGCATTTTCCTCCGTCATCTTGGCACTGCAGTTGGCACCTCCAAAAGGATAGCGACAAGCACAGACAAAGCCCCTCTTTTCGTTGACGCAGGTCCCTCCATTTTGACATGGGGAGCTACTGCAGCTCAGATAATCCCCTAGATTAAAAATGAAAAAGCATGAATAGCCAGAGTTATCCATCAAAGCAGAAAGCAGCACCCAAAATTAAAGTTAATATATCTGCAGTTCCTGGTTTCTGTCCTCTCGTCACCAACTTGATAGGGATGAATATGACTCCGTAGTTTTATTTGCAATCCATGTCGGTTTTCTCTATGTTGAGTCCAAGGTTTTACAGAATTTATGTCTTGCTTTGCCAATATATACCACTATTTGTAAAAATGCATGCTTGTGAAAATATATTTATGTATTAAACATATGCCATTCATCTCACCTAGAAATGGCAGCTTTCAATCAATAAAAGCAACACAATGAAAGACTAAATTAGTATTAACAGTAAAGTTTGTTTAAAACTTTTTAAAAGAGAGGAAGTAGGTGAGGCCTTGTCTTAGTTCAGGGGTGTCAAAGTGGCGGCCTGTGGGCCAGATGTGTCATGCACAGGCCACACCCATCCCAGCACCGTGAAGGAAAAAAACATCACAAAACATCACATGACGGCAACGTGATGTCGTGAATAGGATAGAATAACAGAGTTGGAAGGGACCTTCGAGGTCTTCTAGTCCAACCCCCTGCTTAGACAGGAAACACTATACCATCTCAAAGAAATGGTATAGTCTTCTTAAAAAGTTCCACTGTTGGAGCAGTTGCAACTTCTGGAGGCAAGTTGTTCCACTGATTAATTATTCTCACTATCAGGAAATTTCTCCTTGGTTCTTTCCTTGATTAGTTTCCACCCATTGCTTCTTATCCTGCCCTCAGGTACTTTGGAGAATAGCTTGATTCCCTCTTCTTTGTGGCAGCCCCTGAGATATTGGAACACTGCTATCATGTCACCCCTATTCCTTCTTTTCAGTTTGAATGGGTGAGTTTGACGCCCGTGTCTTAGTTCCTTAGTCCTTGAGGTTAGAGCAAAGAACCATCTCAAAATTTACAAATCCACTGGACTTCTGGTTTGAAGGGCTTCGGCGACAGACAGAAATCCATGATCATGCGCGATTTCTGTCTGGGCTCACCGCTGGAGCACCCGAGCTGGTTGGTTTCGGGGCTAAGCCACCCCGTAGAGGTGGTGAAGAGGGGGAGAGACCACCAGCAGGGTCAAGAAGAGCCACATCTCTCCTCCTCAGCTGGCCATTACTCCCTTTCCCAAAGACGGTTGCAGCGGTGGTCAGAAATGGCCACCACAAAGAAGAACTTGACCAGAAAAGAATGTGCAGGAGGAAGATAAGAAGTGAAAGTTTTGGCTGACTGTGTTAAATTGTAAAAGCAACTACTAAGGTACCCTGGAATTTAAACTTACAAAAAATAACATCGCTCCCAAAGAAGAGTCGGAAGCAGCGAAGGAAAGTGAACAGGGAAAGGTTTGGCTTTTTTTTTCTTCTCTCTTCTTCCCTATACTGACAACTAAGAGACTTAAATAAGAAATCAGAAAAATCCACTTTGACATCAATAGGCAATTAAGCTGAAAATAAAACAAAATGCCAAAGGGATAATAAAGATTTCTGGACATTAAAAATTTACTTTTTTCATAAGCAGGAAGGGAGAGAAAAAGAATAAGGGCAGGATCTGGAAGAGGGAGGAGACTGCCTGGAATTAAAAAGAATCTAAAGTAAAACTTCAACAGATACATTTTAACTGAAACTTTGCAACTAAATAGTAACCCCAGGAAGAGAAAGTGAAAAAAAAGAGCAAAAAAGAAACAGCTTGCGTGTATTTGGATTATTTGGTGATCTTTGGATTCTTGGTTATTATATTTGAATGACTAAAATCAATCGGATGGTTGTTTAAAAATTTATACAATGGCACCACTTCTGGATGAATTGAAAATGGTACTTAAAAAGTACAAAGAAGATGCACAAGAGGGGAAGGGTTCTTTTGGCTTCATTTTTCAATTCTTAGAAATGGAGATTTGGAGCTATGAGAAACAACAAGAAATGACTGCAAAACAAGAAGACTGGGACAAAGAAGAAGCCATCTTTAATGAACAAGTAATTTTATGTGGGGAAGAAAAAGGAAAGGGGGGAAAGAGAATGGAGAATTTAAGACTTAAAAAAACAACCAAAGAAAAGAAAAATAATTCGAAAATTAAGTATAATACTGGAAAGCAACAGAAAAGGGGAATGCAGAAGAGAGAAATAGAGGTAGAGAGGCAAGGGGGTAAAAAGAGGAGAGAGAAGAAGAGAGGGAAGAAGGAAAGGAAAACAAGTTACAAAGGACCGGAGCAAGATATAGAGAAACAGGACCTATTTAGAGATAATGGGTGAAAATCTAACTGAAAAAGGGATTCTGTAAAGGTACATAAGATTGTATTGTTATATTAGTAATAGAAATAACTTTAGAAAATTGGAAACAATGTATGATTAAAATGAGGGATAACATAGTTACTGTAATTTAGTGAAATGTTTGTGAATAAAATAAGAGAAATAAAATAGATGAGAAAATTGAATTAGGAAGGAACAGGAACATTTTAATTAGTTACTGTTTTATAAAATATAAGTGAAGAGGGGGGCGAATTAACTATGGAAAGCTTATAATTGTTCCCATAGAAGTATGATATTTAAGTGAAAAGTAATGTTAAAGATGTTAAGACTTTAATGAATATTAATATTAATGATAGAATTGAATTGGAATGGAATGTTGTTTTAATTATATATATTTATAAATTTTTTTCTTTTTTTAAGAATACAGTGTGTATTTTAAGCATGTACTAAGCAGAATCCGAATGGAAGTTATGTATTATATTGAATGTTACAACTTTAGGGAAAAGATATAAAGGCGTCATACTCCAATCAGTAACTACAGGAGAAATTTTGTTTAATGAGAAAAGATAATAGATAATTGAAACAGGACAGACAAAAAATATAAATACAGTGATTTGAATTGAGGTGAGATAATTAAAATAAAATTGAGAAAATTAAAAGAGGGGAGAAGCTATGTAGAAAATGTAAAATAGTAATAAGATATGGAATAGAATATAAAAATGAGCATGAACCTGAATTTTTGTCTGTACGAAGAAATGTAACCCGGGATTACACTACTTTCAAAAAAGATGTTTTATTTGTATTTTTTTTCTCTTTGTGAAAATTCAAATAAAATTTACCAAAAAAAATATTTACAAATCCACTGTAAAATGTAGCAATTCCCAGTCATATATCCATAGTAACTTGACAGGAAGAAAAACCTGGATTTGAGACAAACCTCTTCACCCTCAAACATGACACAGGAAAAGAAAATAATCTTCCAATTGTCATTTCCTCAGAAAAGCTAAAATGACCCTTACATTTTAAAGCTAAAATACTGGATTGTTGGGACTGATGGGGAAAAAATCCCTAATCTATACAACATTTGTCCGAAAAGTACAAATTAGGCCAGTTCATTTAAACTAGAAAAATGAACAGAATTTCTTCCTTACCATTCCCAATTAAGAATGATAACAGAAGAAAGGCAGGCACCATTATTTATTTGCATATAAATTATGCTGTTTTCGGGAGCGGTGTATTTGTTCTCTCTAATGTTATTTGCCATCAGGGAATTTCATCAGACATTTTTACTGGCATAGATGACATTGGGATTCAACTGGCTAATCAGTCATCATTTTTGCCAATCTAAAGTGAATGGGATGCACTCAACCCAATGCTGCACGCCTGGATATACTGTCAGGTAACATTTCATTCATCAATACAAGACCTTTTTATGCTTTATCATCCAGGTCCCGTTTTATAGTTGAGAACCCGAGCTGTGATTTCCCGAGGATTTTAGACTGGAACAAAATTGGATATTCTGAAGATTAACTGACAATATAAGCATAATGAAAGCCCGTACTTTCATGATCAAAACAGAAAATTTTGGTGAACATTACAGTGTTTCTCATCCTTGATCATTTGAAGATGTGTGAACTGGCTGAGGAATTCTGCAAGTAGAAGTTCACGTATTTTCAAGCATCCAAGTCTGAGAAACAATCCCTAAAGAATAATGTTTTCTTTTGACCAAGATTTTGGCTTATTAGGAATTAATTGCATATTTAAATGTTCTTAAAATTTTGGTACATAGCAGGATGTCTACAATATATGAACATTGTCATACTGGGGAATATTAATCATTATATTTATGAACCATCTTCCTCCAAAAATAATTAGGGCAATAGCAATAGCACTTAGATGTATATACCGCTTCACAGTGCTTTACAGCCTCTCTAAGTGGATTACAGAATCAGCATATTGCACCCAACAGTCTGGGTCCTCATTTTACTGATCTTGGAGGAATGGAAGTCTGAGTCAATCTTGAACCAGTCAAAATCAAACTCCTGGCAGTGAACAGTGAGTTGGCCTGCAAGACTGCATTCTAACCACTGTGCCACTACAGCTCAGTATATGGTACTGGACAGTATACAGTACATGGCTTCCCATCTTATTTTTTTTCCCCATAACTTGCCTATGCTGAGAAAGCAAATAAATTAAATTATTAGTGAGCAGAAGGATCGGTAAAGGATTGGAATCCAGGCCTCTGTAACTCAAACCTCAAAACTGTAATCCAATATCTCTCCATCTTGGCAACTTTCAAGATAGATAGACTTCAATTCTCAGAATTCTGCCAGCTGGTTGGAGGATACTGGGAGGTAGTCCACCCATTTAAAGCCACTATGGTTGAGAAACATTGCTGTAATAATTACACCAGTACATAATGCCTTCTTGCCTTTTAAAACAGGACAAGTTATTGCAAAGACACTCAATATAGTAGACCAATATAGCCTTTAGCAATATAACAAGCAGTATCTGGTAAGAGGCTTACATAAGTTTATTACATAAACATGCCTTTCTTTTCATGTCTGAAATACCAGGTAGGCAGGTATACATTGACAATGTTAATGCTGGTGAAATAGAACAAGCACCTGAAGGCATTTTGAATATTCTACAAGATGCTGCAAAGCTTTTCATATATAGGAATATGCCAAAAAATAAATTCAGCCTGTAAGTACAACAAAATC